TCCGCTGCCCTGAGCCCCCTGTCTCCACTGCCCGGAGCCCCCCGTCTCCGCTGCCCTGAGCCCCCCATCTCTGCTGCCTGGACCCCCCGTCTCCGCTGCCCGGAGCCCCCTGTCTCCGCTGCCCGGAGCCCCCCGTCTCCGCTGCCCTGCCACGACCCCCTTCACACAGAGGAAGCAGGCTCCCCGGACCCGGAGACAGCAGCTCCCTCCCGCGCAGAATGCCGGTGCGACACGGGGTGTGCGGCCAAGCCCCGACTTTGTGCAGAGCACGGGAGGTGATGAGCCCGGCACGGGGCAGATGGAGACCGCTAGCACCGCGCATACAGGCAGTCAGCATCCCCAGCCATTCTCAGAAGGCTGTGTTATTTCTAAAAATAAATTAGGTAAAAAAATAGAGTGATTATAAAGAGGAAATTATAACTTTGCAGACATTAGGATGGCTGCTTATTTTGTTCCCGGGTAATTACAGTCCAGTGGGGCCGTGCCTCCCTTGGCAATCTCAACCGTTTTCTCTAAAGCGTAGCTTGTTGATAGTACTTTTACTTGTGACAAAAAGTGCTTCTGTCGAGGGAAAGTACTTCCCGGCGTGGGTGTTGGGTCAGGCCTGCACAGCTTCCCAGTGAGCAAAGTGCAGGACAGCACACAGCCGGATGCCCCGGCACGAAGAACACCCTCCTTCCTGCTTTGCCCTCACAGCGTCCGAACAAAGATTGTGTTTCCAGACGACACTGAAATAGGGCCGCACTCAACAGCAGCGTCGGGAATCCTGCAAGGTACGGAGGATCCGCACACGCCATGAGGTGCTGCAGGCACACGTCCCTTTACCACACGTTGCGATGTTGTCTTTTCTTTTTTTCTTTTTTTTTTTTTTTACAAATTGAAGTTTTAAGATTTCAGTGGAGGAAGCCACTGCAGATGGGCTGGAAACAGCAGGAGAACTAGAATTACAAGCGGAACCAAAAGATGGGACTCGATTGCTGCAATCTTATGATAAAACGCGAGGGATGAGGAGTTGCTTCCTATGGATGAACAAAGAAAGTGGTTTCCTGAGACGGAGTCTAGTCCTGGTGATGATGCCGTGAAGACCGTTGAAGGGACAGCACAGGATTTAGGACATTACGTACGCTTAGGTGATAAAGCTGCGGCAGGAAGTTCTCCTGTAGGTGAAATGCCATCAAACAGCATCACGTGCGACAGAGAAATCGTGAAAGGAAGTCCATCGATGCGGCAAATTGTTGTCTTATTTTAGGAACCTGCCACAGACACCCCGGCCTTAAGCAGCCACCACCCTGATCCATCAGCGGCCACGAACATCAACGCAAGAACCTCCTCCAGCGAAAGGACTATGACTCGCTGAGAGCTCAGATGATGGTTAGCATTTTTTAGCAATAAGGTATTCTTTAACTAGGGTGCAATCATTTAAAAAGACTTAAAGCTATTGCATTACTGTCACATTAACAGACTAGAGTATCGTGTACACGAAACTTTAATGTGCACCAGGGAAACCGGTCAATTCACTGGACTGGCGTCAGCGCGCTCTTCTGAGACCAGGCCCGCAGCATCTCCGAGGGGAGCCCGAGCTTACTCCCACCTCCGACAGGATGAAGAGGCCGTTTTCGAGCCAGGCCAGCAGTCAGTCCACCCCTGTTGTCTACAGCAACTTGATAACTTCCAGCTCATGGTTTTTTCCTTGGATATGAAATTTGAAGGCACTGGAGTGTTTCTCCTCTTTAGTTACGAACCGCGGTGCGATAGGAACTAAGAGAAGATTGGTCGGATGTCCATCAGTGCTGTGATTTTCCGTTACGCAGACTCCTTCTGCAGACCCTCCCAGCCAGTATGGCAACAGCGTGTGCTCGTTCTCTCTGCCCTTTGGTTCAGCATGTTGACTGAGTATCTACTCTGGGGTGATGTTGGGGTGAATAAAACAGTGGCCTTTGTAGCAAAGGATATCATTCTAGAAGCAGAAAGAGGACACAGTAATTTAGATCCTCAGAGAGTGCTCCTGCTAAACCTCTTCTGACTGTCTTTCTGTCCCAGTCCTCCCTGTCTGTCTGCTTTTGAAAAAGTATACAATTCTACAACTTGTTTTTTTAACTTAACAACATATCATTGAGATTCCAGCCAATCAGGAAGGTTTTTCCCCACCTCCTGAGGGCCTCGTGTACCTTTGTCTGTTCAACCTTGGACACACTGTGGGACACACAACCCTCTGCCTTTTTCGTCACCTCAGCCGTGACCTTCCTGGGACCGTTCCTGGACCAGCATCATTTCGTAGGAGTCCATCCTAAGAGTGGAGTTTTAGGATCAAAAGTTAGATACGTTTTTAAGGCTTTTGACATGATTGCCAAGTTGTCCTGCAGAAAGAGCACACCCACTTATAACACAGCCAGCAGTACTTCTGTTCCTCGGGGCCAAGAGAGTATTCTCAGTTGTAAAAATCTTTGCCAGCTTTATAGGGTTTTAAATGTTTTTAGATTACTGATGATGTTGAGTATTTTTTCATGAATTTATTCTCCCTTAATATCGGTTCTTTGTCATTTGCCTTTCCATGCGATTTTCTCGTTGTTAATTATTATTTGATTTGTGAGCTCTTTACATATTGAGCTTTCCCTGCCCATGTGGCCAGCATTGCTGTGACTGTTACTTGCCTTTTCTGTGAGGGATTTTTTTAATCAATATTTTCTTCGGTTTCTGCCCTTGAAAAGACCTTCCCAACCAAGAATATATTTTAAAATACATTACCTTAGATTTTTTTGATGGTTTTACAATGAACTAGCACTCTGAATAAAAACAAACGAGAGTCTGCTGGATTGTGAATCCATGTTTGTGGCCTGCTCTAAAACTTCATGCCTGCCTGCATGCTTAACATATGTGTTAACGTATGTGTGTGCTGTGGTGTCTCGGAGTTCAGCAGGGCCCGCCCCACGCGTTTTCTGATGTGATTTCTCGTGGCGTGCGCTGCCCACGCTTGTCGGGGACAGACCGTGTGTGACGGCCATCGTGTGTTCTGTCTCCAGACCGGCTTGGCGCACAGACTCGTGACTCGAGAAGGCTCCGTGGCACCACTCCCCCTCTACACGTCACCATCCTTGCCCAACATCACGCTGGGGCTGCCTGCCACCGGGCCGTCCGCTGTGAGTAGGCGTCTGCGGGTGTGCATGGTGGGGGGCGGCTGGCCCAGGCCCTCAGCCGGGCGTCACGGTTGTGCCTCTCCAGGGGGCGGCCGGCCAGCAGGAAGCCGAGAGACTGGCTCTCCCCGCCCTCCAGCAGCGGATCTCCCTGTTCCCCGGCACCCACCTCACTCCCTACCTGAGCACAGCGCCCCTGGAGCGCGACAGCGGGGCTGCACACAGCCCCCTCCTGCAGCACATGGTCCTCCTGGAGCAGCCGCCCGCGCAGACGCCCCTGGTCACAGGTGAGTGCGGGGGGCTCGGGGCCCCGCGGGGGGGCCCGTTTCCACCCCAGAACTTCTGCCCGCGACCCCTCCTGCGTGAGGGCCCATGATTTGATGAGCCAGCTCTCACTTGCCAACGAGGTGGACGCCGTGAAACTAGGCGTCAGGCGCAACTTCTGTGTAACCTCTCCAGAGCGGTGGCTGTTCCCATCTGCTTTTGCCTCTGGATGCCCTTGAACGTGTGAGAAAAGCCCACAGCGACTCCCGTAGATAGTCTGTTTCTGTTAGCAGTAAGAATTTTTAATGTGCTCTAAGGGATGGTTATATTTAGGGGAAAAAATAGGACATTTGTCAGAGATTTGCATGGCAACAACCCTCTTAGCTTCAGGAGTGAAGAACGTGTGGATTTGCTAGAAAACGAGCAGGGGTCCAGCTGAATGGGTGTCCTTCATGTCCACATCATCCCCGGCTTCCCGCTTGGCTTCCCGGAAACCTGATCACTTGGTCAGAATTCGAATCGAAAATACCCTCAGAGCCGCCCCCTTTCACGCTCCCTGACACTTGGGTGGAAAACACAGGTGCTGAGCCGGTCACAGGGTCCCGACCTGTGGGCACACGGGGCCAGGTCTGGTCACCTCGTTGAGAGTCACGGGCTGGTCTGGGTGCAGGGGACCGTGTCCCGCTCTCCCGTGTGTCTGCAGATGGCGAGCTCCATCTTCCACTAGTGCTCCTTCGTGTCTATGTGTCTGTCTCCTTCCCCTGATGCTGGTGTTGGGGTCACCATCCTCCTCAGAGTTGAGGGGTCTACAGCATGCCGGCGAGCAGACACCTTGCCACACATCTGCCCGACTTCCATACAATAGGTCGTGAGCACAGAGGTCTCGAGGGTTTTACCTGAAATTGCATCTGAGTCCCTGTGACACTCAACGTCAGGGGCCTGAGCAGTGAGGGATGCCTGAATTTCCATCTTGTGTCATTTAGTAACACGTCAACGACACCCAACCGTCCTCCTGATCCTGGTCCCCTGCTCGTCCCCCACCATTAAAAAGCATTCCTAATGCCACACCCCGCAGCTTCCCAGGAAATAGGACCTTACAGGACCTCACCTCTCCAATAAATTTGCTGAACTTGACTCCTTCGTGGTTGAGCACGTTGCCAGGTCTGTCCTCTGTGTGCAGTTCGTGGCCGTGTCTGTGACAGCAGCTGCTGACGGCCCGCCTGTGGCGGTGAGGCTGGGGCTTGACTGTCCAGGCGCCGGCCGGCTCCCCCCACCCCGCCCTGCAATCCACAGCCCCCTCCCAGTTCACAGGCAGCCCAGCTGGGGGCACTGGAGGCAGGGCCGTGGCCAAGAACACAGACGCCTTTGCCTCCCCTTGGTCCCAGCTCAGTGACCTTGGGAGGTCTTCCCTTGTGCCATGACTTAGTTTCCCCATATGTGAAGTGGGGATAACGCAAGTAATCTGCCCTTTGAGTTTTATGAGGGTTCAGTGAGGCGTGTATTCACGCAGGATGGCATCTGATACCGTGCCCCCTTAGATGTGAGTTGTTGTGGTTGTGGTGGTTGGTTACTTCTGGGTTTAGAACTTTTAACCTTCAACCTCACCTCCCCAGGCCACCCCGTCGGTCCGTCCCAGGTCTCGTGGCCCCTTCCGCACCCCCTCCCTGTGAACAGGGCCCTGATTCGGGTCTCGGTGGGAGCACGCCTCCTGACCTGGCTTCCTGCCCCTCCAGGCCCCGAGCAGAGCCCCCCTCTGCAGGAGCACCAGCCCCACCTGGCCACTGAAGTTGAAAATCAAAGTCAAGGCCCAAAAACGAAGTAAATGTTTGGTTTCTCAGTCCCACATGGGGCTTAGTGGGTGCCCGTGTGGCTGGCGGCGGTTGAGCTGTGAGAATGTGGAGGGTCTGTGTCAGCACAGAGGGGCCTGTTGGGCGGTGCTGGCCAGGAGCGAAGGCCTGGCACTCACAGGCCTGGGAGCAGGCCGCCTCCTCCCTGCGTGGCTCGCGGCTGTGCGGGCTCCCGCTTCACCAGCTGGGGCCGCCCTTCTCCCCGCCGGCCTGGCTCCCACGCAGGCTGTGCCCCAGTCCCCGTCCCCACTCCCGTCAGGCGTGGCCTTCCGTCCCGTGAGCTCTGCCCACGTATCTTCGGTGATGCTCACCTCCTGCTCACCTCCTTGCCTGGAGGGCAGGCACTGCGCTTCCACGGCGTGGCCAGCCCACTCCCGGCATCCACACAGGCTCGATGTGCAGAAGGCCTGCAGCAAACAGCTCTGGGGTCAAAGGGAGGGGAAGTCGGCATTTCTGAGGTTCACCAGCCAGCGGACCTGTGTTTCTGTGAGTGCTTGCAGGTAATCACGATGGATGGACAGACAGAAGGCCCGAGCTAGAACAGCTTCATCGCATAAACGCTGAAAGCAGAGGCCCCAGGGGGCAAGAGGCTGGCCCGGGTCTAGAAAGGTGACAGGGTGCGGGTCTCAGGGCCGTGGGATGCCCCACCTCCGTGTGGCCCTCGCCTCCTTGCTTCCCACTGCCCCAGCGAGGCACTCGGCAGGCAGGAGCCGTCCACTCAAATCTTCTCCTGAGAAGACAGCGCGCCCTGGTACACTCCGGGGTTTCGCAAGGCAGGAGGAGAGATGGAACCACCATTGCAAGGAGGAAACCCCTACTTGCTGTGCACTGTGTGCTCCTGTTGTCCAGACAGCCCACCCAGGGCTGTGCTCATGTGGCCAGGGGGGCAGAATGTTCAGCCCAGCATCTCCCCCACACCAGGCCCTGGGGAGCCAGACCCCCGAGGCCCCTGAGAGCTGTGTGGTTGGGGCTGGGCGCTCAGGCCGTGCGGCAGGGTGGGCATCAGGGAAGGCTTCCTGGAGAAGTGGCGTGGTTGCTGAGGCCTTGGGTGGGAGTCTCGGGAGTAGGGGCAGTCGGGGGAACAGGTGTTGCAGCTGGAGGATGTGGTGTCTCTCTAGCCTTCTGGTCACTCGCAGGGCCTCCCCAGCCTGGCGAGGGGGCGAGGGGGCGGACAGGCAACCTTGGCCCATGGCTGCACTTCTGAGCGTGGGAGCTCTGCGGGTCTCTGCAGCAGTGATTACGTGCTCCCCTTTGCTCCTCATTTGTCCTGAAAACCGAGTCCCAGGAGAGACTGGGGCACGACTGGCCATGGGTGCTGCCCCCCCTGGGACCCAAGCAGCGATTCTCGGCCCTGTCCAGGCCCCCAGAAGCTCTGGCGAAGCCGACCGGTCCGGGCAGGCCTCTGCCACCCACGGTTTTTCTTGGAGGGCTCAGGCTAAGCTCATGTGCAGCCAGAATTGCAAGCCACTAGTTAGACCCAAGTCTTGCCTGACTTACTGTCTTTTGAAGGGTTTTAAAGAGTTTCACCATGGTGCGTGGGGTAGTGAAATACGTCAGATGGGTTGCTAAGGACCCAGGCCACATGAGTCGGTCACCCAGTGTGAATGAATTCATCTACTTAACCAGAACCCCATAGTGCACAGGCCAGCCCTTCAGACTTGGGTCCAGAGTGTCAGGGCAGCCTGCCTCTTCACCTCTTTGCCTCTTCAGTCCCCGTGTCTGGTGGGGTTTGTTTGCAAACTCGCCACTTAGTGCTGTGTGTAGCACATCTTGAAGCCTGGATGACTGGCTGAATGCCAGGAGTTATCATTGTCCTTAGGGTCACGTGGTCCAGCTTGGACTTCGGGGACGCTGGCCCACCCCCCAGTCCCGCCGGAAGGAGCAAAGGTCTGTAGCGCTGGGTGAGTCCTCTCTCAGTGCTGGGGTTGGTTGTCCGTTTGCTGGACCACAGAGGGACTTCTGCCAGTGCTGTGAGCAGGAAGAACGGAGCCTCAGGTCAGCCTCGCAGCTGACAGGTGCTCAGGGAAGAGGCCCCGGGCAGCCCGGCCTCCCTGCCCAGAGCAGGGTCCAGGAGCCGCAGGCCAGGCTCTGCCCCAGCACTGTGCCCAGCGGGACGCAGCAGGCCCCTGCTGACAGCTGGGTCGCCTAGGACAGAACTGGACCTCCGTGTAGTGTGGGTTTATGCTGAAAAGTCTTTTACAGTATATACCAAAAGCCAAATAATGGGCTGTGATCAGAAACCCTTGTTCATGACCTGAGGGACCAGTTGGAAGTCAGTTGGCCAGGAAGGCTTGCCACTCAAAGGTCGGGCCGAGGGGCACAGCCCTGGAGTTTTACCCCCAGGAGGCCCGCAGTGGGACTTGGGTGGGTGGGGTGGACCAGGACAGGTCCTCCCACCGTCTGCCCGTGTCCTCAGGGCCACCCCACGCAAAGGCAGCGCCCCTGCTGCGGGGAGCCTTCCTCGTAGGGGAGGGCAGCGAGCACCCGCAGAAACCAGGCTCGCATTCATGCTGTGCTGTCGGAGCACATTCCTGCTCCGGGACCAGCCCTGAAAGCTCAGTCTCTATGGAACTGGGTTCCTTCCCTGGAGCCCGGAGAAGCTTCTCTGGAACACGGGGCCGGCCGCCCAGTAACGCCCCACGGCTCTGCTGCTCCCTCACGTACTTGCCCTTCCTTCCCGGTGCCCCGGAGGCCCCAGGACGGTCTGCTCGGAAAGCCGCGTTTTAGCTTCTCATGTCTGAGGGGCACCTTCTTGGGACTGCGTCCCCTCTGTTCCCGTAAATGCAGCTTCGTGTGGCGGACTTCCGCGTGTTGATCCTCATGACACCTCGGTCAACAGGAAGAATTCCCAAACACCTTCTTGGGGGGGCGGGGTGCTTTTTTTTTTTTAACTTTTCTAGAAAACTTGATAGGGAATGAGTTGATCTTTTGTGTTACTGACTTTAATTTAGTAGCCGAACAGATAATGAAATTTAAAGTAACGTCTCTTTTCAGAAAACAGTGGGCTGGACAGCAGGTGGTGGTGGTTTAGGGGACAGAGTTGACGGACTTCTCGAGAAGCTAGTGAGGGACAGTTTCGTGAGGGTTGGGTCTTTCCTCACTGTGCGTAGAAAGTTGAGCAATCACCACAGCCGCGAAGGGACAAGGAGAGACTAAGACCGCAGGGCTCCTCGGGGCTCTATGGAGCAGCTCTCGGGGAGCCCGGCCGCTGCCGTGCTCGGCCACATGCGGTTCCTCCCAGGCAGACGCCCGTGACCCGGGTGGTCCGCGGCCTGAGCCTGGCTAGCTCGTGTTCATCACCTGAGCTGCTAGGGCAGGAGCCCTGCAGCGGGGCAAGGGTTTGCTAGAGAAACGGTGAACTGCCTAAACCCTGGTTTGCAGAAGTGAATCTACAGCCGTGTGAAAAGCTTACAGAAGGGAAAGTGTTTGGCGTCCTGAGTCCCCTGAAGAGGCTGCATTTTAAAATAAGATTCAGGTGCAGACTAAACCAGGATCGTGTGTCCGCTCGGGTTCTTAAGCGCCCAGTCGAGGTGCGGGTTGGCGAAGCCGCTGGGAGCGTGCAGGCAGCAGAACCTCCGGAGAAACGTGCAGATCCTGACCGGCCGCATCAGGATTTGTACAAGCGTTAGTGTCCCCTTCGTGCGTGAAGTCACCGCTTGAAGAGACCCTTAAAGATTTGATCCTAAGGATGTTTTATTTCCTCACAACTTAGTTTCTGGGTCACTTAGGGAAGAGCCATCCCCACGGCCTTCCGGAACATGCCGGGCTACCAGGACCCCCGCCGCCGTTCTGAGCGTGGCCCGAGCCGCTCCGGCCGCCTGCGGTGCTGCTCAGACCAAAAGAAGCCTTTCCAGGGCCCGGGGCTCTCTGAGCGGTGTCGTGGGCCACTCGTGGGCGGGCCAGCTGCGCTGGAGCCTGTCCCTCGGAATGCCCGCTTACAGCAGGGGCCTGGGTGTCGGGGGACAGCCACCTCCAGACGGCGGCCCCTGCTTGGCGAAGCCCGCGCTCAGGGCTCACAGCGGCGTGGCCGGGGGCTCTGGGGCAGGGCGGGGGGACGGGGCAGCTCCCGGGGTTCCCTCTCCTTCGCTCCGCTGCCCCTCCCTCCACGTTACCTTCAGACTGGTGTCTTCCAGGCCTGGGCGCGCTGCCCCTGCACGCGCAGCCTCTGGTGGGCGCGGACCGCGTGTCCCCGTCCATGCACAAGCTGCGGCAGCACCGCCCGCTCGGGCGCACCCAGTCGGCCCCGCTGCCCCAGAACGCACCGGCCCTGCAGCACCTGGTGATCCAGCAGCAGCACCAGCAGTTCCTGGAGAAGCACAAGCAGCACTTCCAGCAGCAGCTGCACATGAACAAGGTGGGTCCGCGGGCGCGGCGCCTTCCTCGGCAGCCCGGCTCTCTGACCCAGAGGGGGCCGGCAAGACGGGAGGGACGCTGTGGAGGCTGGGCTTCAGCACATGTGGCAGGCCGGGGGACGCCAGGCGGGGGATCACCGTGTGGCGTGTCCTGCCTGGTCAGCGCTTCCTCCTGAGTTCCCGGAGGATACCCCTCTTCCGTGAGCAAACCCCCAACAGGGAGCCCCCACCCTTACGCCGGCACGGAGCCCCAAGAGCACCTTCTCCAAGCCCCTCTGCAGCTGCATGTGCCTGCCTGTTGGAATATCATGCTTAGAAGGGTTAGCGCCCCGGACGGCCCACGGAGGAGTGCGCACGTGCGCGGTCCCGAAAGTCCCTCACGAAGCTGCTTTTGGGCAGGAAGTAGCAGCAGAGTTTCGTGTTGCTGTGCTGGTGATTAAAAACAGAAAACAGGCCGCATCCTTGAAGGTGGTGGCTGGCGGCGGCCCAACTCTAGCCTAGGGTACCCCCATGACAGGGTCATGGGGGACACACGTGAGGAGGCAGGCCCCCGGCACCGTGCTCCTGAATGGCCAGATGGGAGACGGGCTGCCCACCCCAGCCCAGAGCCTCCGGGGCTCCCGGGCCATCCCGGGCAGACGGTGCCGAACGGTGTCGGGAGCGGTGGGGCCGCCCCACCAGCCCTCATCTGGACGGCAAAGGCACTTGCTTCCTGTGGGCGGGACGGGGACTGTCCGTCTGTTCACTCCCAGCATCAAAGGCACTTCACTTCCATCATCCTAGGGCGGCTGTGGCTTCCTAATTTTATCGTGTCACTCTGACTGATAGGGTGGGAGGTTTTAGGAAGACAGAAAACACCTATTCATTCCTGGTATATGCTTGAAAAGAATGATTTAGAAACTGGGTGATCTCCCTGGATTCTGTTACATGATTGATTACGAGAGGGAATGACAGTTGATTGAAGTGTTTGTACAGCGTTCTCCTGGGATCTCGGGGAGCCGACGATGTTATCTCATGCCATCTGGCACCTGCACATCTGCCCTGAGTCGGGGCATGGTGTCCCTAACAGGCCCCTCACCCGATGGCGCTGGCACCCAGCTCCTGGCAGCTCTGAGGCCGCCCACCCTCCCAGCCTGCCCAGGGTGCGCTGGGGATGGCAGCCAGTTCCCGCACGGTCTGCGGCTCATTCAACCCCAGCCTTCGAGCACGGCCGCCTCGCTGATGTCCCCTTAGGGAGAGCAGCCTGCATGGCCGCTTCGGTTTTCCCAAGGTCCCTGACCAAGGGAACTGCACCGTGAGGCTGGGGACCCTCCGTGAGCAGGAAGGACAGACGCCTGAGCTGGCTGTGCTCCCGGCTGTGGGTTAGCATTGGTTGTTAGTGCCCGGAGCCTTACGTGCAGTGGTGTTTATTTAATAAAGCTTTGCCAGGAGAAGGAACTTTCTGGAGAACGTGTGCCCCCAGCGGGTGGGCGGGGCTTACAGCTCTGGAGGTAGCATGGGCGGGTTTGGATCCTGCTGGGAGGGAAATGTGCTGCAGCAGGAAGAGAGCGCTTGAGGGCGTCCGCGCCCCTGCGGGACCGAGGCTTTGCTGGGGGCGCAGTTCCCGCCCTGCTTGAGTCCTGTGGCTCCCAGGGCCAGGCTGTGAACCTAGGAGCTTGGGTGGTCGGACTACCAGCACACCCAGTAATCTTTCAGTACTGGCCCCTTCTGCAGTCTGGCCTTTGGGACCTGCATTTCTCACTTAATCGGTGAAAGGGGCTCCTAAGGTGCAAAGGGCACCGGAGGACAGCGAGCTGGTTTGTCTGTCTGGTTTGCAGCCGCATTTGCCTGCAGGAGCCTCAGCCCCGAAGCCAGCTCTGCGGTGCCGCCAGCCCACAGCCCGGCTGGGGAACGCTGGGGAACGCAGAACGGCATTTCAAAGGCGGCGGGAGGCCGCGGCCCAGGGAGGCTGAGCGGCCCAGGGAGGCTACACCACTGCTGAGCCGGGAGCCCGGGCGGCGAGCACACTCGGCATCACGGGGAGGCTGCTGCTGTGGCTGCGTCCCTCCCCGATTCCCTCTGTACCACCGCCTGGAGGCTGAGGCCACCCTCAGGATGGGCACTGAACGCCAGAGAGACGGTGGCAGCTCAGGTGCCCCTGCTCCTGCCCAGAGCTCCCAGGACAGTGGGGCCGGCATGTTCCGGCCTCCGGGAATCCTTCACAGAGCCAGGCTGGCTCTCATGGAAGCGCAGTGTCCTAAGTCCTCTGGAGGGACCTGGAGGTCACTGCTCAGACGCCCTCATTTTCCGAGGAAGCTGAGAAGACCAGAGAGGGGGCCTGGGACACTCGCCCTGGGAGCAGGCAGGTCCCTGTTCCTGCTCCGCCATGCTCCCCTGCCTCCGGGCTTTGACCATCTAGCAGCGCCCTCCTAGGGCCGCAGGCGTGGGATCGAGGCCTCCGGGAGGGACCCACGCTCCCAGCCCAGCCAACGTGCAAGAGGAAGGGGAGGGCGCCACAGGGCGTTAAACAGAACCCTCTGGGACTTTTACACATTCCGCCCTAAACCCGCCCAGCGTCGTCCCTGCAAAGAAGCAGAAGGCAGCCCACAGAAGGCAGGCTGAGGTCCACGGGCAGCCAGCACCTTCCCCACAGAGAAGTCCGCCTGGTTGCCTCAGCTGCTGATGAGCCGACAGGACAGGCATGGACAGACCCCCCCGGTCCCAGGCCTCTGAGAGGGACCGGCCATCAGCGCCCTCCCCAGACTCCGCCGGGGTCCCTCTGCGGGAACATGGCCCTCCGCGTCCAGGGGCGGCTCAGAGCGTGGCTGGTCGGACGCAAGCCGTGAGCCCTGTCTGTGGAGCATTGAGCGCACGCGAGTGTGCACAGCATGGTACCTGCTGCCACGAAGTTTATCCACAAAGTTCCCAACGGCCGTGATTTCCATGTTCTGGGGGGGGCATGGGGAGTGCCTCTGCTGGGTCGGCTCCGAGCCCTGCCTGCCTCAGTCTCTCTGTCCGTCATCTTGTGTCTAGGTGAGGGCACATGGGGCTTCCTACGCTCTCCCTGAAACTTTTCTGTTGTTCTCAAGTTTAAAAGAAAATGCTGGCAGAAACTAGGTGGGGACCTCTGTGTCCACTGTGTATGCTTTCCCCCGGCCACTCTCCCCCTCCTCTGTGATGACATTCTCAACTTTGTCACAGCCCAGCGTCCTCCGGGGAGGCCCCAGCCTGTGTCCTCCTGGCTGACCCTCCTCCTCTGTCTTCTCCCCCTGCGTCCACCCCGAGGAGGGCCCAGGGCTCTGGGTCCACGTCACAGCTGAGCCTCCCACAAGGACCTCAGAATGGGCCCTGGGCCCCTCAGGAGCAGGCACAGCCCCCGGTGACCTCTGTGCAGGATCCCCTCAGGTGGCCACGGCACCCTGCTCCCCCATGCCTGCCCCCGGGTCTCCACGGACCCTGCGCAAAGGCTTCCCCAGGCAGGGGCTTGTTGCCGCGTGGCCCCCTCCTCCGAGCCTATAGGCGCCCGGCCGCTGCCGTCCTCCCCTTGGCTCTCTGCTGTGTGACGCCGCTGTCCTTCAGGTTCTCCAGCCTTGTGTCCATTCCCCTTGGTGTGTGTGGCCCCCGCCTCTTGCCCCTGAAGTGCTGGCTTCGGGTGCCTTGCCTAGAGCTGCTGTGCTCGCAGCCCTGGCTTTCCACCTGCGTGGGCTCCCTGACTGTCCTCTCCGGCCCTGACCCGTGTCCCGAATCCCACTCAGATCCCCCTTCTCTCACTGAGGTCAGCCTCACAGGTCCACCTGGCACTTGGATGTCATCCTCCAGTCTGGGCTCTGGCCCCTGGATCAGAATCTGGGTTGCCTCCTTCTCATCACCCACGTCTGCTAGGCACCAGCCCTGTGCCTGGACGCAGCCCTCTGCGGGCCTTCTGCCCCCGCCTGGCTGAGCCCCAGAGCGTCCCATCCCTGCAGGTGCTCGCTGCCCCTCGCCTCCATTCTCAGTCTGACCCTGGGGGGGACAGCGGAAGCGTGAGAGCCTGTGGCCTCGCCAGGCCTGAAGCCCAGGCTTGCACAGCCGTGTGCTGAGGGCCACTCTCAGCCCAGCATCCTCTGTGATATGGACAGGGCTGTCCCTGTCCCTGTGACAGTCGTGGCGTCCCAGGCCGGGGCCCAGGTCAGTTTGACCAGCCACAAGGCTCAACACGGGCCTTGCGGGCTCTAGGTGTGCTGGAAGGAGATGAGGTTAACAAGCAAAATATAATTGTGGATCTCAAAATTATTAAGACTTTTTAAGACCCTTCAGTAAACTAGTGTGAGAAATTTGTCAAAGCAACTGGATAGGTGGTTGGCAGGTATTTATATGAAATAAAGTCTTAGCCCGCACGCCGTCTTCTGGCTCCTCCCCGTCTGGCTGTGTGCGTCCTTCTGAAATCGCACTGACCCCGCTCCCCGCCTTCCCGTGCTGGGTCAGAGGTCCTGACGGGAGGCTGCCGTAGGGTCGGGTACGAAGAAAGTGGCCATGGATCCCATGGCTTGGCTTTCACGGTTATGCTTTCTTTGAAAGTATTTATTATAAGCAATTCAAAGGTTAATCACGTAAAATAAATGCTTTGCCAGTCTACACTCCGTTTTCTTACAGTAAGGCAAGGTGGTGCCCCGGAGGCTGCACGCTCAGCCGACTTCGGGTGTGTGCACACGTCACTGTCCCCCGGGCTGGCCCTGCGACAAGTGGACAGAACGCTAATGCGCACACAGCGGTGGCCAGCAAGTCCACCCCCCGTCGGCCGGACACGCTGTGTCGTGGCGTGGGTGATGAAGCAGGCGGTTCTGTGAGGACCTCTTAATATACACATGGGCAGGGGCTAAAAAATGTTAGGCTTCCCTGAAAACCTTTTTCCTTCTAGAAAGAGTCAGAACGTGGTGGAGAGACTCTTCCCCACGACAGTGCGGCTCCTTCACAGAGACGTAAATCAGGGCATTGGAGGTCTTCACGGTTCGTCAAAGCCACGGGGCCGCTCCCCCGGGTGCAGGCCCGCTCGACACCTGTGTCTTTCATTGCGCATCTCTCTGTGCTTGGCACACACATGCTTCCCAGGTGCGCCCCAGATGCGGGTCTGTCTCCTTCCCGGGGACGGCGGACTCCCTCCGCACCGCGGACGGCGCCCAGGTTTGGGCCCCAGCTCAGGATTAGCAGCATCCCCTGGGTTTGTCTGTCCCTCTGCTCTGAGATAGGGAGCCTGTGCTTCCCCTTCACTGCCCCATCGTCTCCATCGCCCTCATCTCTTTCCTCTGCCTTGTAGATTATCCCCAAACAGAGCGAGCCGGCCCGGCAGCCCGAGAGCCACCCCGAGGAGACCGAGGAGGAACTTCGTGAGCACCAGGCCCTCCTGGAGGAGCCCTACCTGGACCGGCGGTCAGGGCAGAAGGAGGCGCACGCACTGGCCGGAGTGCAGGTGAAGCAGGAGCCCATCGAGAGCGACGACGAGGAGGTGGAGCCCCCGCGGGGCGTGGAGGCCGGCCAGCGCCAGCCCACAGAGCAGGAGTTGCTCTTCACACAGGTGACCGTGCTGGCCAGGGCCAGGCGAGGTGGGAGAGGACGGGCAGGCAGGGCAGAGGGACGGTACGGGCCTCGGTGCCCCCCAGCCCCCAAGGGGCAGCGCCCTGTGGCTGGCAGTCAGTGGACACTGACGGGTCCCCCACTCCTGCCTGGCCGGGTCCTTGCCCACCCTGCTCTGGGTGGTGTGGGATGTGGCTGTGGTTTGAAGTCTATTTTACGTTAGCAGTACCTGCAGATACTGGTCCTACTGGCCGTCTGTCCACTGGGCCATCTGTGCACCTGTATCCCAGCCAAACGCCAGCCCCACAGTCCCTAGATATTACTTTCTTTCAGATGTAAAAACTGTAGGTTCACATAAATTCAAGTGTTAGTAAGATCAGCATATCGTTAAAGGTAGGAGGAGGAAGATTGATTTCTTAATTGACCAAAAAGGTAGGCAGGGCCTTTGGGGGCTCAAGGGGCAGTAGTGACCCAACTTTATAGATCCAGAAAAACAGTGACACAGTTACCTAGTCCCGGGCACTGACACATATTAACCAAACTCACAAGAGACTGATGAATGATTTATCAGTTTATAGTGAAAAGTAAGACTTCCATGCCTGCAAAGCACTGGGACAGCCAGCCAGTGAGTCGGAAGCCCCACGGAGGCTGCTTGTTCTTGGTCGGCAGGACCCGAGAGCCAGGGGTACGGAGGACGTGGGAACTGGTCATAGCCTTCAGCAGCAGAGCTGTGTCTGGGGCGTGGTAACTCCTGTCCTCCGGAGTCGGGTGCTGCAGGCAGCCAGTGTTTATCATGCTTTTCTGAGCCTGGCTGGCTGTCCTCAGAGACTGTCCCAGATGGGGCTTTGCTCTGGGGCGGTGGGAGGGCCTCACGGTTGTACCTGGAATTCAGCGCATTATTAGGATCCTTATAGGAAATTGGAAAGGCCTTACATAAATGTTTAGGGCTAGTGTCTTGCAGATGATAAAGTGATCACGTTATTGTGCTCTAAACCCAAGACAATGATTAGACGCTTATTTTCTGTATTCTTTGAGGAATAATGAGCAGAGCTCCCTATTGGGCACTTGGTGGTCCTTGTAAGCATAAGACAGGGCAGCCGATGTTTTGGAAACCGAGCGTCAGGGAGAGGTGCTCTTAGGTGGTGTCCGGTGTCTGTGGCGGTGGGTGTGAGTCGGGCGTCCCACCGGCAGAAGCACGGCAAGGCGGCTTCGGGCACCTGGCCCCGTTCTCTCTTTCTGCTCCTTCCCGACTCCGCTTCCTGAAGGCAGGACAATCGGGCAGCTGGGCGGAGAGGCTCTCTTCCCTCTGGCGGCCGCACGGCTGCTGGGCTGCTGCTTCTCATGAGGGGCTACGGCTGGGGACCTTGTCGTCTTGCGAAAGGACAGGGTCTGTTCATGGGTCGTGGAGGAGCTCTGCCTTCCCTGGCGCCTAGGCCAGCCGCCCGCGGTGCCTTCACCGCTCCGGGGACGCCCTCCCTGCGGGCCTGGCCCCTGCCTCCTCGGGGACGCTCCAGGCAGGCTCGCCTCTGCCTGTCACAGGGACGTGCGCCTCGGGGTCTCCCTCCCTCGCGGGCCCCGGGCCCCACCCAACGCTCCCCTCTCTGCCGTGGCCCTGGGTCTGACTCCTGGCTCCTGCCCACTCCCACAGCCCCTCCTGGAGTCCCCCGTGTCTCTCCGCGGGCTCGCGTGCAGGGCAGAGAAGAGCTGTGCGAGCTCGTGAGGTGCCCGCCCGCCACGGTCGAGAGAGGCTGTCCCTGCTCCAGGCACTGTGCTGCCTGGTCGCCCCTGAGCTCCCTTAGTTTCTGAACTGCCCGTTCTGGATCCCTGTGGTATTGTGCCAAAGCCAGCTCTTGCCATGGAAACACAATTTTCGTGAAAAAGAGTTTGTCATGGAAGCCTGTGTTTAATGAATTCACCTCCTCTTCACTCTGGTTATTTTTCTGAAAGGTGGCTGACATCCTGGGGACGGTCCATCTGGTCCCCGCCTCCTCAGAGGGCGCGCCCCCCCCCCTCCCTGTCCCCGACACTGGCCAGCTGGGCCTGAGCGTCTGGAACCTGAACATTTCTCCTTTGCTTCATCTAGAGTCTTTCTGCCCCTGAGTGGGGGTGTGGGGTAGGGAGAGGCCAGCGAGCAAACCGTGGCCGCAAGTGAGTCACCGTTTCCGTTCTGCGATGTGCTGCTCACACACATTTCTGGCATGCAGATCAAGTCCTCTCCGTCCAAAGCAAAACAGCAGCAGACTGGCCCCGGAGGGCTGCCTGTAGGTGGGGGCCTCCATGGGCAACAGGCAGCCCCTCCCGGCCAGCTGCCCCAGCATGCTCCCGGACCGTGTGAATCAAATGAATGGGCAAATGGTTTGCAGGCAGAGATCCGTGTAGCCCTTCAGGCAGGGAGGTGGGAGGTTTCCTGGCAGCAACAAACCCCATGTGCCTTCTCCCCCCAGCAAGCCCTTCTCCTGGAGCAGCAGCGGATCCACCAGCTGAGGAACTACCAGGCGTCCATGGAGGCCGCCGGCATCCCCGTGTCCTTCGGCGGCCACCGGCCTCTGTCCCGGGCGCAGTCCTCCCCGGCGTCTGCCACCTTCCCTATGTCTGTGCAGGAGCCCCCCACCAAACCAAGGTTCACCACAGGTACGTGCACGGCGGGCCATGGGGTCGGGGCGGCCCCATCCGACTGGCCGGCCGACGCCTGCAGGTGAGACTGGCCCGCGGTTGCAGCAGACACGGGAGGCCCGCATGGGGCTGCACGGGTCCGAGGGCCAGCCACCGGTGACCTGCACCCCGGCTGGGCGACCAGATGTGTCGCTCACTGAGACTCTCTTCCCACCCCCCCTCCTTGATGCCATGGTCTTTCCTAGGCGCAAAAGCCCACCCTTCCCTTTGCTGGAGAATCCGTTTCCTCCAGAGACAGCCCACCGGCGGGCCAGTGTGGCCGGCGGGCTAGGGGGCTTCCCACCCGTGCTCAGCAGGGACAGTGAGCTTGTCCTTTCTCATCTGCCGCTCTGCGAACTGAACCTTCTGCGGGGCCTTGCCCACGCGGCCCAGGTAGCTTGCAGGTATCAGGCCACGTGGTGTGAGGACAGCTCAGCCCTCCCTGCCTCGCCCCTGCAGGAGACGGGCAGGAACCCGCCAGCAGGACTCTGTTTCTGCCCCAACTGCGCCGCCCCCACGGTCAGGGACCAGAACTGTGTAGGCAGGTCTGAGGCTCCCGGCTCTGAGTCAGGCGGGCCCGGGACAGAGGGCAGTGGGACGGCTCTGCAGATCGTTCTTGCCTCATACTTCTTGTCAGAGACAGAGGAGGAAAAAGTGCTCTAAGTACAGAATGGTTTCGTCTTTCTTCAGACAGCCCTGTAATAGGACAAAGTATAAAACACCCTATTCTTCTGTGCACTGTAACGTGTAGCCTCTAAATATGGCTAAGTTCTCTCCGTTACGTCATAAAAGGATACTCTTCATATTCAGAGAAAATTGTAATTCGTAATTAGCCAGAGATTAAACCAGCGCTTTTCAGAAAGAAAACCAGGAAGCTACAGAAGGTCACGGATGGAATCAGCGGGGCACCTGAGGTGGACACGTCCCTAAGAGAGAAGCCCCTCCCCTTGTGGCCACAGCAGAAATGCGCCACATAAAATGTGCCCACCTTGGGGGCCAGGGAGACCCCCAGGCACCTTGTACCTGCGTGCTTCCCTGGCGGGGGTGCTCAGCCTGGGGGGAGCCCTCTGCTGATACACTTTTTTAGCTCATCTGCGTTACTTTTTTAAAATGTATAAAAACAGTATGAGTTCCCTGTTAAAAACCAAACAAACAAACAGAATGGAAACGCCGAGAAACTGACAGTTGCCCCTAAATCCCACGCCCCAGAGGTAGCCATCGTTAGTAGTCTGGTTTAAATCTTCCAGATGTGTTTCTGTGCATAGCCAGACGGACAGATGGACACAGACATGGTGTAGTTTGCGCAGATAGGACTCAGTTGTCCCTGTGTGCCTTTTGTTAATCCCCACTCCCTACCTTGGGGTCTTGGTGCACATGGATGGGCTCGCCGTCTTAGCTGCAGCGCGTCCCGCAGAGTGTGCTGGCTGGTTCTGCCGCTTCCCCGCCCTGCAGACTCGTCTCCAGTGTCCCATCCGTAGGCAGGAGTGACGTGGTGTCACCTCGAAAGTTCCAGCCACATGGCCAGTAAATATCAGCCGACTGCTTTGTCAAGATGATGCCGTGTTCGTTGCACTGATGGGCATCTGGGTTGTTTGTGCGCGTGTGCATGCGTGTTCCGTACACACGCGCACGTGTGCACAGAGATGTGTATACGTTGCCCTTATGAACTGCCGAACACAGCCTCTTGGTGTACGTGTCTTGCCCACACACTTGAGCGCACTGGTGGCGAGTTTCTGCAGCTGCTTGTTCTCCCACATGTCCCACCGTGCCCCGCTCAGTTTTGCTGGTATATCCAGAATTCCCTCAGCACCAGGGGACAGACCCCTGTTAGCCCGACTCACAGAGACCAAAGGGGTGGTGCGGGGACTCATGCCCCCAGAGGCCAGGTGTCCGGCGGGGCCGCAGCTCCGCTCCCCTGTGGTCGGTGACGGCGCCTCCGCTCCCCAGCCCCCGACACGTGGAAGTAGCAGCCGTGGGTCTGATGCACATGCGCCCCCACCTCTGTTGGCCGGAGTGAGCAGACGCCCCTCACAGAGACCTGCCTGACCCTCGGGGCAGGTGTGAGGGGACTGCAAACAGGGCTGCAGCAGGGACAGTGGGCCACCCCTCCTGGCAGACGTCTCGCTCCCCCCTCTGCAGGTGGGGCACAGGACAGGGGTGCATCCTGGAGGGAGCTGTAGGGGTGTGCGCAGCACCCACCTGCCTTTCCCCTTCCTCCAGCCTCGCCTCCGGACGTGCAGCATCCATCCTCCTTCCGGCATCTTCCTGGCCGTGACCTCAGTCACTCTGGTCCAGGGGTGTCCCCGTTCCCTGTGCCGCAGAGCCCGGGTGCGGCGTCCCTCCCCAAGGGTGACCCCGTTGCCACGGCTCCCTGAGGGGCGCCAGCAGGCATCGCAGCTCTGCGCTGTCCCCAGGGACGCTGCAGACGGGTACTTAGCACGAGTTCCTGGACTCGGTGATGTCCGCTCTGTGCTGATTTTGAATACCCTGGTGTTTGCCTGTTTGTATGTGTGCTCACACTGTCCCAGCCGCTCTGGAAGGTTCTAAGGGTAGGAACCAAGTCTTGCCTTTCTTCTGAGCCCCAGAACCTGGGACAGGACTCAGTCCAGCACACGGCTTCATAGAGAGGCTGCTCCCTGACAAGAGGGACTGGGACTTGGGACTAAAAGCTCTGAGTTTTGGAGGACAGCACAGTCATGCCACACCAGTGCCCCACGGCTAAGGGAGTGGGGCGTGGCGTGGGGCGTCTTTCCGTTTCTTTCTTCTTGACTTGCCCCGCCCCCCCCCCGGGACCTCTGGGCACGTGCTGTGAGCAGGACACTTCCTCTGCTTCCGTTTCTGGGAGCTCCACTTGGCCTCTGGTGAACTGGGATTTTCCCGCCAAGTGGCCCTAGTGGACGGAACGCCGCGTTGGCCTCTGTCAGTCCGGGAGGTGAGGCGGCTTGCGTGCTGGGGAGGTGGTGGGCGGCAGCCGAGGACGCCCGCCCGCTCTGACGGGCTGGGCCGCACGCTCTGCTCCAGGCCTCGTGTACGACACATTGATGCTGAAGCACCAGTGTACCTGTGGGAACACCAACAGCCACCCCGAGCACGCCGGCAGGATCCAGAGCATCTGGTCTCGGCTGCAGGAGACCGGCCTCCGAGGCAAATGTGAGGTAAGGCTGGCCCACACGGGCCTGCGCCGGGCACCTGCGGGTGGGCCCCGGGGAGCCCAGAGCTGTTTCCCTGCACAGCCAGGTCCCCCCTTCCCGGAGGCCAGCCTCTGTCCTGCCTCCCGTCTCCCTGCCAGCGGCTGGCCTCCCACGTGCCCCCCACGTGGACAGGGATGGGACATGGGCTGACTCGTGCTGCCCCACACAGTGGTCGGGAAAGCTAGAGCCCTACAGCTGATGAACACCGTCCACACCCACCTGTCACAGCCCCGGGCCCACCTGGACCAAGGCCCGAGCAGGCGCGTGGGAGAGTGGGGGCGGCAGAGGCCCCTGTGCCTCCACCCGTTGCCCCTGCAGAAGCTAGGATATTTGGGAATTTAAGTCATTGTGGTTCCGCGACCCCCATCCTTACTGGTTTTAGGGTGATGCATGACTTTCAAGGGGGGCAGGGGCCCGAAAGCTGGGTCCAGCATCCTGCCCTGGGGCGCCCTCTGGGGAGGGTGTGACCCCACCCGGCTGCTGCGGAATGGACGATGGCATCTGCTCTGGGGTCTGGCCCGAGGCTGCACCACTGGGGGGCAGCATTGCCCTGGCAGACACCCCTAAGGAAATCTCCCGGGCCTGGGTGCCCTTCCGTGCCTCCCCCACCCTGCGGGACCAGCCCCGTGACCTGCTCTTTACCCTCTGGCCTCTCCCAGGAGGGTGCCCTCAGCCCAGGGGCCTCTCGGGGAGCTTCTGTGCCAGAAGAGCAGACACGAACAGGAGTGGGACAGTGAAACAGCACACCTGGGGGGATGAGACCCTCAGACCCCTCTGCCCTCCTGTGGCCCTGAGGCGGGAAGCGTCGCCTGCTCCCCGGCCAGGGGCTGTGGGGTGCCCTCGACCTGCGGACCGAGATACAAAGGAGGAAGGGGGTCGGAAGGATGGTTGGGAAGAGGCCCGGGTAAAGCGTGCAGCTTCCATGTGGCGACATCAGGGACGCAGAGCCAGGTGCCCTCGATGGGCGGGGACCCTGACCTCAGGGTGCACCTCCTGCTTCACTCAGCCCAAGGGAATGTGGTGGCCCTGCCTCCACCAGGCCCCCACGCGGGCCCCTGAGGTGGCGGAGGGCCCAGGTGCTGGACATGGTGGTAGGAATTGGCCTTGACCACAGAGAGGTTAGCGGCACCGGCCAGGTGGAGGCCCAGGCCTCCTGGTCTGTGCCCCTTGACCTGGCAGACGGGTGTGGGAGCGCTGCAGGCCGGGCTCCCCTCCCCCTGCTGCTGCGTCGGGCCCAGCTGGGCAGTGGAGGGCGTGGAGCTCACGGCCCTGTCCACGCCGGGACACCAGGCTGGCGGATACCTGGCCACACCGCCCCGCCTCTGCTCCCTCTGCTCTCGTTGCCCTCCTGTGTCCACAGGCATCCCTTGGGAGGCTGTCACCTGTGAGCAGTTACGGATCTCCACAAGGTGGCAGGGAGTAAGAGCAGGCCCTGGACCACGACCACCACCGGGGCCTCCACCGTCGTCGAGACGGTCGCAGAGACTCCCGTGTGACCGTGGCCCTCAGAAAGCCGTGTCAGTGGGCAATGTTAGCTTGAACCTCGCTCCATTAACCACCTTCCTTTTAAGTTTAAATAAGCATAGCCCAACTAAAGAATAGTAGATTTTATGTTAATTTCTGGGGAAATGTGAAAATAACTGTGTAGCCTCAATGTGAAGAATATCCAAAGCAAAGGAAAATGTGGACAGACACGCAGATGATGAGGTAAATTCGCAGACTTCAGGCCCAGTGCGGATCGCAGTGAGGGGCTCATTCCCAGGGCTCGGGGGTGTGCAGGGCCTGGGTGTGAGTCCGCGGGCCTGGAGAGAGCAGCCCCCCCACCCCGAAGAGCAGACCCCAGCAGCTGGAAAGCAAAGTAGCAATTTGATGCCAGATCATTTGGGTGACAGGGAAGGTTAAAGTGTTGAAGGCTGGAATTATCTGTCTAAATCTGTTTTTCAAAGTTATAATTAAAGTGTAGGCTCTCCAAAACATTTTTTAAATATTTTTTAAATGTGTTGGGTGCGGTTTACTTTTTATTTTGCAGGAACCAAATGATTTTGTGCCCATGTACGTATAAAATTCAGTTTCCTTTGGGGTGATGGTTTTTGTAGGAACGGTTTTCTGTTGAAAGTGGACCCCAAAGGCACAGGGAGACGTGAGCCCTCTTCCTCTGTCCCTGCAGTGCATCCGCGGACGGAAGGCCACGCTGGAGGAACTGCAGGCCGTGCACTCGGAGGCACACACGCTGCTGTACGGCACAAACCCCCTCAACAGGCAGAAACTGGACAGTAAGAAACTTCTAGGTATTTCAAGGCCTTCTTTACCTTTCCCGCCTGAGGCGGTGTTTCCAGCCCTGCGCTCGCTGGGCCCGCCCTTGGCCCCAGCGGCGGCAGCGTGGCAGGGATGGCCCTGTGCGTGGCGCCTGCACCAGGTACCGAGCTGAGGGCTGGAGGAGGGTCTCACCGCCAGCTTTCACCCGGCCGGCGGGTTTCCTGCCGGGGTCAGCGGTGGGCTATAGAAATGGGGTGACACCTGCTGGTTTTGCGGAACGTCCTGTAACAGCGTCGATACCAGAGGCTGGAGGGTGCGGGTCCTTAAGCTCCGGGCCTGCTGGGAGCCTGGAGTCCGGGGGAGGAGAGGGGCAGCCTGGAGAGGGCTCTCTGCAGGGTCTGGGCCTCCGTGCTGGCGGCCGGAACTTGCCGACAGGCCTCTGCTGCTGGGGAGGCAGGAGTCTCAGCAGCGCGGACCTGCAGCAGAGGCCGGTCGGGAGCCTCCGGCCCCTTGGGCTCCTGGGCGCAGACCCCATCCCGGTCACGGCCCTTCCTGGGCACCTCTCACCCCAGCCTCCCGGCCACCATGAACCTGCAGGGATGCGGGGGGCTGGTTCCTCTCCGGTGTCTCCAGAGGCTCTGCTCACGCTGTGCTGGGGGGATCCCGCTGCAGTGCGGCCCCGTTCACCCACATGTGCGTGCGTGCACGCATGTGCACTCGCTCCTTCCGTCACTCCCTCGCCCCCTTAGGGAGCGCATCTTCTGTGCTGGAAATCCCGTCAGCATGGCGCTGCCTGCCACGGTTGCAGTGGCCCTTGTCCGTGGACAGGGTGGAGCTGGTGGCCAGGAGGAAACCTGCGGGTTCTGACCTGGGGTGGCCAGTCATGCTGCTTCCCAAGCCCCACTGCCCTGTAGTAACAAGACTTTCAAAAGACATGACTACTTGCTCTGGGAGATGGGAGAGGCCCCAGCGCGGGAGGGCCTGGAGGCTGGAGAGAGAGCAGGTGGGCAGCAGGTGCTGCAAAGTGTCCGGCGCTTCGGACAGAAGCCCCCGATGGCACCACAGACTCAGACAGCTTGGGTTGGCCCCTGCAGAGACCCTGGGCCTGGGATGGAGGGTAGGGGACGGTCAGACAGGGGCTGGGCCAGAGGTCCTGAGAGGCCCACCCTCCCACTCCCTCCCAACCCCAGGACCCTGAACAGAAAGGGCACAGGGCTCCCTGGCAGGGACAAATGTCAGGAGCAGAACAGGGCAAGGCACTGCCCACCTCCCGCCTCCCCTCATGTGGACCCTGCCCTCAGGCAGACATTACAGACCCCTCTTCAGAGAATGACCAGCCCAGAGGAATCCGACATGAGGATGCCGGACAGAGAGCCCACAGCTCAGAAGCCCACCGTGTGCCTGAAGCTCCCAGTGGCTTTTAGGCCTCCGTCTGAGGAACAGATGACCGAGGACTATCCGCACACGGGGAAGTGCATCGCGGGGAGATGAGTCTGAGACAGGGCAGCTCTGAGGACAGACTTCTGAGAGAGGTGGACACTAGAGAAAACCAGAACTGTCCGTACTATCCTTAAAGAGAGGAACTACCACGGCCACGTAATGTGGACAAGAGCAGCGAGGAAGGAAGAGACCAGGACGCTAAAGAAAGTCCCATCAGATGCAGTCTCGGGAGTCGAGAGTCCCATGTTGGGAGGTAGGTGCGGTCAGTCCCCTGGGAAGCAGAGCAACATGGGCAGGAGTCGGGAAGCGGGAAGAAGAGGAAGAGAATCAAAGGAGCATTCCCGGCGCGCATGGGCTCCCAGGAAGAGCAAGAGGAAGGGAAGAGAACCTCTTGGAGCAATCACGAGCCGGCCCCAGAACCACAGGGCGAGCCGCGCCACCCAGACCCTCCGAGGAGCCGAAGGGACAGATGTGGAATGGCGGGGACCAGGTGAGGTGCGCCAGATTCCAGGGTGAATGCCCCACAACGCCAGTGCTAGGTGGAGGCTCGTCCTGGCCTGCAGCTCTGACCCAGCCAGGAAGGGCGAGGAGGAGCAGGACCCTTCCTCCAGGCTCCGGAGGACACCCTTCTCCAGCGCAGAGCGAGGCTGAGAGGGTGGACACAGGGCCGCCGGCGGGAGAGGGAGTCGCTGAGCGAGGAGGCTGTGTGCAGAAGGCCAGCACAGCGTGATCGGCGGGGCAGCCCGGTCCCCAGGGTCCTGCGGGATCCTCCGGGAGACGCCGCTCCTGCCAGGGTGGCACCTCAGCCCGTGGGCCCCGTGATGTCGTAAGTGCCACTAAGGCACAGAACCAGTTACCCCCGACGTGAGTGGTCGCCAGGAGCTGGCCGGACGGCCTCACATCAGAGAGCGGGGTCTGCCGTCACAGAGGCTCCCGGCGTGGGTCCTGTCCCGAGCACATGGTGCGGCGTCCGTGGCCCACCCCCACTCTGAGTGGCGGGCTCTTCCCAGTTCAGCCCCTCCTGCCTTGTCGGCCGTCAGAGGCCATGTGTTGGCGGAGCCTCCACCAAAAGCCCTTTTGCACCTGCGTCCTCTGAACTTGAGAAGTTGGCCAGGGAAGGGATAATATGTTTCCACATCTCGGGTAGAGGTGGGCTCGAGCGAGCAGCAGAATGGACTCGGCCTCTGAGCTAGTTTCAAACTCGGCTGAAGACAAAGGATGACAAACGAGAGACAAGGCGCCCGTGGGGCCTTCAGGGAAGAGTGAGGCAGGTGCCGCCGGCAGGGCCCAAAGCTTTCGCAGAGGCTGACCCTTCGTCGGCACCTCCTGGGCCCAGGTCAGTGATGGGGTTGCCTCTCCTCAGCCCGACATCACTGGGCCCCTGAGCCCCCGCTCCTATTTCTGGCCTCTTTGCTGAAATGTCTTCCCATTATCCTCGTCCTTATTTCTGCCCCACCCCAGATGCAGCTCTTTGAGTGTATTTCGTATTCATTTCGTTGTTGTGAAGAATATGTTGTGTTTGTATAGTTTACAGCAAAAATACCCTAAATCATTGTTTCCTCTTTTCTGCTAAACTCGGTGTTTAAAATCCTATTCCTGTGGCTACAAGGACACCTAACTGGTTACTTTCTCTGCCCTTGAGACCGGTTTTTAAACATCCGATGACTGTCCTAACCTGGAGGCCTATCGTCCGTCTGACTGGTCCACACGTAGTAAAGTTGGCGATGATCTCAGGTGTTGCTAACAACCCTAACTGGACCTTTGAACACTACTGTGTGAGTTGCCCTCCTCTTTTTATGGAATCCACAAACTTCTAAGCCGTTCTCAAGAAGACCTGCACGGTCACTGAGGTGCCACTCAGCATGGCGCAGCTGGGCTCACGGGGGCTGCGCGGCCCAGACTTCGAGGTTCCCGGAGGTCTGGGTGTGTTGCCCGATGGCAGTCCCCTGGGAAGGGAGCCTGGTCAGATGGCCAAGCGGTGCCTGGAGGTGGCCGGGAAGGGTCGAGAGAAGAGCCCTGTACTCTGGGCACAGCATGAGGAGCCTCAGTAGGGACACACGAATGCCGGTGTCCCCACGCCACTGGCCGGCCTCCCACCTGTCAGCCGCCGCCGTGATGGGAAAAGCATGGCGGCCCTTAATGCATCCACCGTCACCTCTGCCTGGACGGACGGTTGTGATCTCACCTAGGTGACGTGGCCCCAAACCACAGGAGGCCGGAGGGGCCCGAGGCGAGCAGGTGGCCAGGGATGCCGAGCCTGGCCACGGGCCTCAGAAGCTGTTTCCAGAACTGCTTCCCTGAGCAGAGCCCTGTGCTTCCCGCCCACCTGGGAGTGCGTGAGATCCTACCTTTTCTCACTATTTTGGTCTTTGGATAATGAGCCAAGTCAAAATATCTAGATGATTTATGTTTTTAACGTAGACCGTATTGGCTCTCATTTCAAAAATAGAAATCCAGTGTCTTTGCAGAAGCCCTTCTCCCTTGGACTTGGGCACACAGATGTGTCTGAACTCCTACGCACAGACCTGTGAGTTACCTGGGAGAAAGCGCCGTGTTCCTGTGTTGGGAAAGTCCGTGACTCGAGAAGAACCGGTCATGAGGCCAAGCCCAGCCCCAGCGGCCATGCAGGGCCATGTACGTTTGGAAGGCTGGGCCTGTCAGGGCCGCTCACCGGCTTCAGTCGATGCCCTAGGCCGTTAGACAGGCCCCTTACAGGACATGGGGCAAAGCAGGACCACAAGAGGCTTGGCGTCTGTGCCCTCTCCTGCCCCGGGCCTGTTCCCGCAGCCCATCTTCTCCCTCCTGTTGGCTCCCCGCAGAGGGTCCCGGTGCAGACTGAGCAAGCCCCTCAGGGGCCACCCTCGGCATTCTGCCTGGCCAGCCCCCCACCCTCTCACAGGTCTCCGTATCGCCGGCTGTGGGCTAGCAGTGAGCACGAGGGAAGGAAGGCACACCTGCCCCCAGCCTCACAGGGGCTCCACCGAGAAGGCGTTTGACTAGAGCATGTGGCAGCAGGAGCCACGGATCACAACAGTGGCTGTCAGCGGGACATGGCGTGGAGGACAGCTGGGGAGCTGGGGAGGCGCAAGGAGAAGCAGGACGAGGGTAGACCTGGCACCCAGGCCTTTCCGAGGCAGCGGGGGAGGGGGGTGGCCCTGGTGAGTGTGAGCCGCAGGAGGGTGCAGGCCAGAGCCTGGTGCATGACGTGGCCCCTGGTGGTTCGGGGCCTGGTGTGGTCCTCACCAGGAGTTGGGATGAGGCGGGCACAGGCCAGGTCCAGTGACCCCAGACCTGTTTTCTTCCTGGGCCCCAGGAGTGTGATTCCTGAGCAGGAGCCGGTGTTCTGAGTCAGGGAGAAGGTGTTGGGAGTGGCCTCTGAGCAGTGGGCACAGCCCTGCCGGGTCCAGAAAGCAGAGTCTGCAGGGGGCCTAAGGAACCTGCCAGGAGAGTCCGGGGGCCGCGGGGGCAAGGCATAGGGGAGCAGGGAGTACGGCATAGAGGCTCTACTGGGTCAGCCCTGGGCGGGGCGGCAGCCCCATGAACCAGGGTGTCACACTTGGCAGGAGCGGGGGGCTCTCCCTTGTGACAGGTGAGCTGTAGGCTGGGTGCCAGCCAGCACTGGATCACACCGAGGAAGACGACGGTCCCTGCTTTTGTCACCGGGGCACAGGGCTGAGCTCTTTGGGACGGGGGACTTGCCCCTGCGTCTCGGGCTGGGGAAGGCCTTCTGGACGGCCAGCTCCAGCACGGTGGTTTCTTAGCTGTGTGCCATCCAGGTGGACTTGGAATGTTTCCGAATGGGGCGGGGGCTGTCGCTCTTCACCTCCCCGGGAGAGCCCTCCGTGTCTAACGGGCACCGGGGGGGCGTTAGGGCCGGCGGGGGGGCTCACTGGGGAGCCAGGTTCGTCAGCGGTGGGACGTGCTCGGGACGCAGCCTTTCGGGTTGTTCGTGGCACATACGTGAGCTCGGGCTGGAAGGAGAGGCCCAGCTCTGGGGTCCATGCCTCAGAGCAGTGGCCGTGGCCGTGGAGAATCCCAGGTCTCCACAGGGGCCGTTCCCGCGTGGCCCAAGCTGCGCTGCCCCCGGGTGCTGCCCCCACAGCAGGCCACATGGGGACGCCTTGTTACCTCTGGAACCAGTTGGCCCCTCGGCACCTGGGTACCACCCGTTCCCAGAGCCCACGCTGTGTTCCGTGTGGGCGGGACACCTGTGACCTCTCCCTCCTGACCTTGGCTGTCTTCTCCCTGCAGGCTCGCTAACATCGGTGTTCGTCAGGCTGCCCTGTGGGGGTGTCGGGGTAAGTGTCTCTTTAATGTGTAAATAACGTCCTGTTTGTTCCCGGGGTCCCGGTGGTCACAGAAATCGCTGTCCTGTTTTCCGCCGCGCGGATAATTGCTGCCAGGTGTTTTCCCTAAACAGGGTCCAGCGGGTGGGGCTGGGCCAGGCTCGCACGTGTGGCTTCAAAGGCCTGGGAGCCTGGGAGCATTTGGGAGGCCGGACTCTGGCACCCTCCTCCGGCAGGGTCGCCTGGCACCCATGCTTGCTTCGGGAAACAGGCTCTGGTGTGCAGGTCGGGGTCCCCCCCTCACCTGTGGAGAAAGAGCCTGCTCATCCCTCAGGCCGGGAATCGGTCGTGCAGGTAGAACGGGTGTGTGGTCGCCGCGGGCCCCACCGGCCTGAAGCCCCAGCTGAAGCTCAGAACGTGCGAGCCTGGTGTTTATGGGCCACGGGAAGTGTGCAGAGCTGCCAGCCGGGCTGCGCTTGCTGCTTCTATGAGCGATAACGCCCTTCAGCAGACCCGCTCAGGCAGACCCTCAGGAGAACCGGTGTCGTTCACACGGCTTTCCCTGACCCTGCTGTGGGCGCTGACCTACGAAGGGCGCTCCAGACTGGACATGCACCCCCCTCGGTGCAGCGAAGGTCAGGTGTCCCCAGCCAGAACTCCTTGTTAACGGAGAAGGGCTCCCCGGGCTCCTGTCGCCTTGGATGAGAGAGGGGTGTGGGGTGAGAGCAGGCCCGGGGGCTGAGGGCAGGCCCGAGCCTCCCCCGGGGGCCTGCTGGCCACCGAGGTTCTGGGGCGCAGGCGAGAGCGCGGCCGGCCAGACAGCGCGGGCAACAAAGCCGCCTAGGCTGGAACTGCGCAGCCGCAGAGTATGCGCCTAATTACAGATCGCAGGGCGAAGCTCAAGGTCTGGATTCTGTTATGGAAATGAAACAAAATTGTTTTCTTCCTGAGTCTTTACAAAACTCGCTGCTTTGAAAATTATCCCGTCAGAAGGAGAATAAACGGCATTTACTCATACCCCCACCAAGCCCCCTAGAGTTATTTTATTTTGTATTGTAAGTAGGCTGCAATCTCCTAATTCGGGGCAAATTTTTGGCCAGACTTGAAACGGCTTGGATTCGGCTGCCCTGCAGCCAGTGTGCTGTGCAGGATTTATAATTTGCAAATGAAAGCTGAAGTTGGGCCTGGGGCCTGGAGCCAGGCAGCCCCCCACCCCACCCCAAGTGTGCGTCCAGAGCCGAGCCCCTGCCGGCTGACCAGCACCCACCTTCACATCCAGGCCCAGAAATACTCCAGAGCAGGGAGACGGCGGGAAATCCCACCAAGTCCAGCTGGGTAGAGAGGGAGCCTGTGGACTAATTAGTGGACCGTGTGAGCCACAGGGTGTTTCGGGGATGGTTCTCTCTCGATGGTTTTCCATCGTTACCTCTACAGGGAGGGTGGAGAAAACCAGTGCCCCTGTAGGTCCTCGGGGCAGGGGCCGCCCCCGGAGGTGTCGGGAAAGCAGCGTGTGGGTGGGAGCGTGGGCGCTCTGGGCAGTGACACAGGGAGGGAGAGCCTGCTCTGCTTTCCCTGAAAGTTACTTGGAATTAACATTTGGGGTGTGTGATGGTGTTTGAAAGTCACTTGCAAACTAATTTTTTCCTTAACCGTGCTAAGGAAAGGCTTTGAATCACTAACTTTTTTTCAAAGCAAATAAAAGAACCTGCTGTGGTCCCCAGTTTCCCCTTAAGGGGACTTTGTGTGGGTGAATTCCCCTCCCTGCCAGGGGTGTGGCCCCCTCGCCAGGGCTGTGCCCCCAGCTCCATGGCTTCCCAGGGGCCATGGTGTGCCCGGAATTGGCCACCCCCGGTGCCTCCCTTCTAAATCTCCGCAGGAGCGGCCTCCATGTTTTCCTCTGCTGGTTCCTGGCTTTGCCGTGGGAAAGCAGGGGGCCGGCCTTTGCTCTTTGCTTTGGTTGCTGCGCCTACATCAGCAGTCATACTGCCCTTTCTGCTCCTCCCCAGAGCCTCGTGCCCCCGGAGCTCAGGGCTGTCCCCCAGCCATCCTGGGCCATCCAGCGGGGAGCTGGTGGCCAGCAGCTGGAGGACTCGGGCCCTCAAGCCGCGGGATGTCTTGTTGGGGTCTCTGAGGACAGTGACAGCCTGGGACCTTGGTCCCTCACTCTGGGCAGGATGTCATGGGCCTTTTCCGCCCTGGGGTCATGGACAGAGAGCCATCAAAGCATGTAGAGGGCTGTCCAGCCTCCCTCCCGGCTCTGGTTCCCTGGGCAGAAGACCCAAATCCTCACGTTCTGGGGAGAAAGCATCCAAGTGGTTTTGTGTAAACCACCTTCCATCCTCAGGGGAGCGGCAGCTGATGGGACCCCCCCTGCCACTGTCGCCCAAGGACTGTCACCTTCGATTTTAATGAGCAGGGTCTGCAGCTGAAGTAGCTGGCCCAGGACAGTTCTGTTTGAATGGTTACTTCCGTGAATAGCAGTCCAGTATTATTTACAACAGAAGCCGGGCTTTGAAAGTTGAATATTAATGCTGCGGAGAGTCGGCAAAGTGCAGAGCGTTCTTGGGACATTTGGAAACTATTTAAAGAACACAGAGGTTTGGTCATTGAAAAGAATAGCCCTCACAGAATAACACTCCTCCGGAAATGGCTTGAACCCCTTATAAATGTATTTTCAATCATCTTGCTTTGAAGATGAAGCTTCAAGCGTTCACTGCAGGAAATCCACCCGCCCCGCATAATGATCAGTGTCTCTGTCAGGTGGGCAGGGGCCCGTGGGCGCCTGGACGGACCTGAGTAGGCACACGTTTGGCTGCCTGGCCACTGTCTCTGGAGTCCCGGAGCGTTCAGCGCTCAGAGGAGGTTAACTTGGGAAGGACGGGCTCTCACATCCACTTGGCAGACACTGTGTTCCAGGGGACCGGCCTGTGAATGCACAGCTCCTCAGAACCTTCACTGGGCTGGGTGCGTCCCCACGCAGGGCATGTGAGCGTGGCCGAGGCTCCCGCTGCCCACAGCTGGAGATGGTGCCCAGGTGCCCTTGACCTGGCGCCCAGGGGCTGCGTGCTTCATCGGGCCTCCAGTCCTGCCCCGGCTGACTTGCAGAATGGGCTACTCTAATGCCCACAGTAGCTAGAGCTCTAAAAACATCTAATGAGCCCAAGTAAGCAAAGTAACCAGTACACAAACAGAAATTACCTGTGCCGTACACATTCCTCTGAGGTGGAACAGCCCCCTAGGCCGACACCCTGTCACCTGGGCAGAGCGGTGCCTGGCCCCCCAGGAGGGCCCCAGAGGCCAGCTCCTCCCTCCCTCCCCCTGCTCCCACTCTGGTCACTTGCGCTCTCATCCCATGTCTGGAGCAGCTCATTAAAGTCAGCACGAGGTCAAGTCGTCCTGCAGGGAGACCCGATCTCCACTCCTCTTACGTGTCACCCCCCTGTACTTGCGGTGAAACCAGACAAGGGGCTTGGTGACCACGATGCCATTGCTCTGTGCCTTGCGTACATGGGGCACTTGAGGGGAGCAGTGAGCCCTCGGGAAGGGGTAGAGTCAACGCGTGTCTCTTTCCTGCTGCATTTATGGTTCTTTCCCTATTTAGTCATTTTTGGCATATCTTCAAAAAAAGTAAGCTCGAACACGAGCTGGGGGTGTTGCATAATCAGTAAGGAAGAGGCGAGCGGCTCTGTGCTGGGATCTCAGGCAGAGCCCACAGGCTTCGTGAGCCCCCAGCTGCACGGCCCCCGCAGGAGTTGGGGGGAAGGGGTGACGGCCGAGACGTCGCCTCACGGCAGGACCCTTGTCTCTGCAGGTGGACAGCGACACCATATGGAACGAGGTGCACTCATCAGGTGCGGCCCGCCTGGCCGTGGGCTGTGTGATCGAGCTGGTCTTCAAGGTGGCCACGGGGGAGCTGAAGGTCGGTGAGGACCCTGCAGAAATGGGCCTGGAAAGGGACCTGCCAGGGGCTTTCTGGGCGGGGAGGGGGGACAGCCCCCTGTGGGTCCCTCTGGACGGGGGGACGGTGATGGGGAGGACGGCTCCTGTCCAGGGGCAAAGGCAGGCCCTGCTGATCCACGGGAGCACCTTCCGCAGTTGTAAAGCGCGGATGGCTCAGCGGCTCTCGGAGATTTGGTCTTGGGAACACCTTACGCTCTTGCCACTGCTGGGAGAACCCCAGGAGCTTTTGTGTACGTCATCAGCACTGACTGTATAGAGAGCAAAACCGAGAATTTGAAACTAACAGTAACGCCCGTGTCCGTGCACGAGCTGCCGTCCCCGACCCGCTGCCGCCTCCATCTCTGACGGCTCTTGGGTAGCAGCGCTTAACGGAACCTGGCCTGACACGGAGGTGGAGCTGGGGAGAGGGAGGGCGTCCGCACGGCCCTCGCAGATAACCGTGAAGGTTCTTCTCTGATGTTCCACCACCGCTCCACGCGGGGCAGTTCCTCGAAGGGTAGTGGCAGTGTGGACCCCGAATCCGTGGCGGTGAAGCCCGCTGGGCGTAGCAGGCCGACGGGAGCCGATACGCACACCGGACTTCTGCAGCACAGCGTCCTCCCGTTTGGCAATACGGGCTCCTGACTTACGCAGATCCTCCAGCAGCCCGACCCCTCCTGTTACACGGTGTCAGGAATCACTGATTTCTGAGACTGTTAATATCAGTGCACATCTCGTCAGGAGGGTCCTCTGAGGGTCGGGAGGAGCTCAGGATGCACGTCTTGGCAGCAAAGCTCAAGTCTGGCTCCCGACGACACCCGTGGGCTCGCCCCACACGCACTTGCCCATCCTTCCCCTTTGTTCGCCTGAGGTGTTAGGAGGTGTTAGGGGGCGTGCGTTCACGGGTGGGGACTTAGGGAAATTGATCGCGATTATGGCCGCAGGAGGGGTTGTCCCCTGGAACTGTGTTCCCCTGCAGACGTGTGCTGGGAAACGCGCCAAGTGCCCATGTGGCGGGCACTGCCGTATCCCTCCCCAGCACCAGCAGGCCACCGCGCTGCCCTAGCCCCGTGGTGCGGCTGTTGACACGGCGAGAAAGGCAGACCGAGTCAGGACTGTTGGGAGAACAGGCCCCTGGAGGGGCACGGGGACCCCCAGGGGTCTGCGGCCTGCACTCCCAGAACCGCTGTGCGGGGCCCATGTGCAGGGACGGGCTGGTTCAGCAGCACTGGGAATGCAGAAGGTGGGGCCCCCACGTGCGTGTGTCCCTCGCCTGTCCCCCCCCAGAGCTGGCCCTGCAGCAGGCCGAGCACCACTGCCCCGTCCTCGATGGTTAGCCAGCCCCGGGGGCTCTGTTCCCAGCCGTGACCACCCAGCTTCCTGCTGGGACAAGAGATGCCTGCTGAAGTCATTGTCGTGGCAGGGGCTAGAGCAGTTTACAGATGGCTCCTGAAAACATAAGTGGCTCAGAGGTCCTGGGGAGGGGCAGCTTCTCCAGCCTCTGAGCTACTTCTAACAAGTCAATGGGTCGCTCGTTTTCTGCAGCTCACATTAAGGCCAAACTTGGGCAGGAGCCCCTAGGTTGAACCCCTTGTGCTTTATCTGCACCCAGGGTTCCCGTCTAGTGGCTTCCTGGGGATACTGGTCATGAGCAGAGGGAGACCCGGGGTTCCCCGTCCACTCCTACCCAGATCCCTGAGCTAAACAGCTCCAAGCCTTCTTGCCTGTGAGCCATCAAAGATAAAACGTCAGGGCAGAATTCACCTTTTATTTTAGTAACCATGACAACCAGAGGATCTCTTTAACAGCAGGGACCCAGACGTCTTTGAAGTGCTTACAGCCGCCCTTCGTCCTGTCCCCGTCTGTGAGCCCAGATGCGGTGTGGCTCCGTGTCCTTGCGTGAGCCTGACCCTGCCAGCAGTCTGCTCTGTGCTCATTTTCTCACTGACATGAACCCTCTTCCTCCCTGTTTCTCCCCCGTCTGGTGTCGTGTGCAGAACGGCTTTGCCGTGGTCCGTCCTCCAGGACATCACGCGGAGGAGAGCACACCCATGTAAGTAGACACGCGGCCGTGGCGGGCAGGGGTGTGCTGGTTTCTGATTCAACTCCTCTCAAAGGGCTGGGCTGCACCTGAGTGAAAACATGGCCTCGAACAACTGTCGCATCTCCAGAGAAACGCGGAGACCTTCACCGATTGCACCAGGAACCTGCAAGCGTCAGTCCTGAGAAGTCTTCTCAGCCTCCACTCTGTTGTAAAAAATTCGGTGGAGACTTAAATTGCACCAGAACAAGTGGCACTTCATTGTTCTAGAACATTCTGACCAAACCCCTCAGGTCATCGCCCATGTGGCTTTCCAGCTGACCTGCTTATGGTTTGGTACTACTGAGGCTGACCTCTCAAGGTCATGAGCACAGGGGCAAGCTATCTGGACCCCGTTTGGGGCTTTCTAGCCCTGAGTGTGCGCTCGTCTGAGGAGCTGACCAGGCAGCAAGTGTGGTGTGCAGATTGCCCCAGGGGCACCGGGGAGAAGCAGTGGCAGGTGGGGACCCCCTGGGACAGGGTCGCAGGGACCCGACTCCGGGCTCACCAGCTGTGCACCAAGTACCTGGGTGCCTGGGGGTGGGCTAGACGTGGCTTCTCGTGGGACCTGGGAAACCAGTCCGGCAAGCAGGACGGGCGCCGTGGGAGGACGGGTGTCCCCTGCTGGGAGAGGTGGGAGAGGTGACGTCTGGGCTGTCCCCTGGAGTAGCAGTGGGTCGGACGGCAAAGCAAGGACCATGCAGACGGACGGAGCCCGGCTGGGAATCCAGGAAGCGCAGGGAGGGGACGCCGGAGTCTGTTCAGGAGCAGCTAGAACGAGGCTGAGGAACCGCAGACTGAACCCGCATTCTGAAGGAGCCTGGGCTTTGGCTCCCAGGCAGGCGGGAGCCCTCTGTCCTCTCCATCCGGACGTGAGGGCATCGGACCGCGGTTTGAGAAAGGAATCTCCTTCCCAGGGAGGAGGGAGTGCCCGTAAGCTCCTGAGAGGGGCTTCAGGTTAGAATGGGCTGTCTTCTCCTAGAAACCCTTGGGCTCGGTGACCCCACGACCCAGAACCTCCCATGCTGTTAGGAACAGGATCCTATGTGTTTCCTTCCTCTGAAGGCAATTTTCTAATTTTATCTAAGTTGTTGGATATTCTGGAGTGTGAAGACTGGTAAGAACCCGTCTTCTCCTTCTGTCTCTCCTCTCACCTACAGGGGCTTCTGCTACTTTAACTCCGTGGCCATCGCGGCCAAGCTTCTCCAGCAGAGGCTGGACGTGAGCAAGACCCTCATAGTGGACTGGGTAAGTGGGGCCTGTTCCCCGAGAGGGGCTGGGGGTGGGGAGCAGACAGCGTCCCGTGTGCAGAGAGGAGGTGGGCTTTCTGCCTTCATTGACATTGCATTTTGGGACCTTAACTTTCTGGAAACTACCCCAAATGCAGAAAATAAAAGCTCAAACCTGTCACGAGTCCACTTCACAGCTAATAGCCACTCCTGCCGATAGCTGGGTCCAGAAATGTCCGGAAATGTGCCTGTGGTTAAGAGCAACAATTGAAAGATGATCCTTGGCAAGACCTCATTGAGAGGCAGGTTTGGGCGGGGTGGGGGGGTGACGGCCGTGACCTCCCGCGTCCACCTAAGGGCGTGGGCCACGCTCTCCCACAGCTGGACATGGCGCCGTGCGTCTCAGTCCCTCCTGGTGGAAACGCCTTCCCACTTCGGCCTGGCGACCCCTTCATGCCGGCTTAGCCTCCTTCCCATTTTCCTACAGGTGGTGGTGCTTCTCACAGCCCCACTGCCCCAAGAGGGTAAACTCTAGCTTAAAAATGCTATGTATAGTATCTGAACTTCAAAAACAGTCACACAGCTTCTTACACTGGGGATGGACACCAAAGGGGTTCATTTTATTCTTTTTCCCTATTCTGTTTAGTACTTAAGATTTGATGATTGCTTTAAGGGGAAAGGAAAGCATATGCTCAGGGAGGATTATTGTATGTACTGCAGGGTCCTTCTCTGTTTGGGAAAAGAAACACCACACACAGCCCAGCATACCCAGTAAGCTCCCAGGACTGGCCCTGGTCACAGGGCCTTGAGATGGCTGAGGCCTGGGAGCACCAGGCAAGGCCGCCCAGCGTTGGCTCTCACTGTGCCGGCATCTTTGTCCCCATGAGCCAGGTATCGAGTGGGGTACCGTTCATGAGCACGTGACTCACAGCGCCTCGGTCCAGCACACACGTGTGGCCAGGGTGCTTGGCGGAAGTCAGGGGTCATAGGGCTGCTCACCCCGGGCTCCCACCGCTGCATTAAACACACATGTGTGCAGGGCTGCCTCGGTTACAGAAAGTGCCCATCGCGAGAGTCGTGTGTGTCCTCTCAGCCAAGGTGGTTTCTGGTTGGTGGGATCGGGTGTCTTTTACAACCCCTTATTTATAGCTGGCTTGCCACAGTGTCTCTACTGAGCATAGATAACGTTTGTAAATGACAAACATACCAAGCAGTTCCCGGGGTTTAAAATAACTAACTCGCACGCAGCTCTTCACATTGTGCACACCGTGTGAAGCTGGCCACCTGTCCCCGTGGCCCTTTCCGGCCCTGACCAGAGACCCGTGCGTGGCCTCGGGCTTGGTGGAAGTCCAGCTGCCCCACGTTTGTGCTTTTCACATGTGGGCACGGTGATCAGGAGAAGCAGTCTGTCGTTGGCGCGTGGGGCCCGGGCCCCCCATGCTGTGTGCGCACCTGTCACTCCCAGCCCCTTGGGATGGTCTCCTGCCGCACCCCGGTGTCTGGCACAGAGCTGCTGCCTCAAGTGGGCTTGAACTGAACAGCTGTGGCCAGCTCACTTCACACAGACGTGGCAGGGGCAAGAAGTTGATCAGATGGTTTTGTCTGGAAAATCATGGCCTCCGGGTAGGCCTAAAGCACCAGCCTCTTCACCTTTGCTGGAACCTGCAATATGCCGTGGTGCCGATGCGAGGAACCCCGGCTGGGACACACCTGGGGCCCCTTCCTTCTGTCGCCTCGGCCCCGCTCCCTCCGGGCCCCACTGCAGGCATCTGCCGGCACTGAGTCAGCTCTCCCCGCTCTTTCAGGACGTACACCACGGAAACGGGACCCAGCAGGCCTTCTACAACGACCCAAACGTCCTGTACATCTCCCTTCACCGCTATGACGATGGGAACTTCTTCCCGGGCAGTGGGGCTCCGGACGAGGTAAGCAAGGGCCGCCTGCCGGCGTGCAGGCCTGTCGGAGGGGCCGAGGCGGGGCTGCCATGGAGGTGAGAGAGGGGGATGCCCAGCCCTGCACACACAGAAGCAAGGGCTTCCTGCTCACGTTCGCCCCAAGCGATTTCAGGCAATCGTCCTGTGGGTGCCCACGGGCTTTATTTTGTCTGAGGTTCACATGAAAGCCTGGACATGATTTCTGGCTCTAATCTAGGGAGACTGAGAGGAAGCATGGGGCACCCCCCACCTCCCAGTCCTCCAGGCCTGCGTTGCACGACTGAAACGCCTCCAGGCCACTGCTCACGCCCGTCCCTCGGGCAGGGCGCTGGTGCCCTCCTGTACCTGTCCAGGGCCACACGGCGGGGGGGATTGGCAGGCTCAGAGCCTTCGTGACAGCCGATCCCCCAGCAGAGCCTGCCCTCGCTGAACAAAGAGGCCCCAAACCCAGGGCAAAAGTGTCCTCAGACTCTGGGTCTTATTTCTCGGAAGGAAGTAGGGAAGGACGGCCTCATCCACGGACCTTTCTGGTTGCGCTGTGTTGGCGTCTGCAGGGCCGTCTCCCCACAGGGCCGTCTCCCCACATGGCCGGGCGGCTCCCACGACTCCCCCACGTGCGAGTGGCCGAGAGCCCCACATTCTGTGCCCACGCTCCACTGTGGAAGTCTGCGAGTCAGAGGCCGTGGGGTCATGCTGGCGAGCACAGCCCCGGGCTCCGCTGCGGGGCACCAAGGGTCGGGCCAGGGCCCGTGATAGGAGTTTCTCTCTTCCACGCAGGTGGGCACAGGGCCGGGCGTGGGCTTCAACGTCAACATGGCTTTCACCGGCGGCCTTGACCCCCCCATGGGAGACGCGGAGTACTTGGCGGCCTTCAGGTGAGTGTCCTGGCTTCCTCTACCACGGGGCACGTACAAAGCAATCAGGAGTTCCACTCCCGCGCCCCCAGCTCCTGCTCGGTTTCCCTGATGCTCTCTGGCCTCGCTCTCCCTTCACGCACACACGCGGATGCGCCCGGGGCGGCCGCTCTACCTCCCCTCCAGGTGCCCGGGAGACTCGGGCATTTGCGCAGCTTGGAGAGACAGGGCTCTGGGGTCTGGTGTTTCTCCTCGTGTGTTCTTCAAGCCAGAGGAGGGGTCTCCAATGCCGCCTTCTCACCTCCTGTCTGCAGCGGGCCGTCCTGGGCTTCACCTGAGAAGCAGGAACCCCCTGGGTTTCAATGGTAAGAAGGGGGCTGAGGCCCAGGTGAGGATCAGTGCCGCGCTCAGAAAACCTGAGGTTCACGAAGAGCGGCTGCTCAGCTCTGAGAGATTGGGCCGTCTCCTGATTTTCCTTCCAACAAACCCTTTGCGCGACAGAAACCAGCCTTCCTCCGTGATCGCTGCAGCCTGAGGCCACTGCCCCGCTCTCCACCCACTTTCCGCTGCTCTCTTCCACTAGGACAGAGCTGCGGGGTGATTTTCTGTAAGCGCCGTGGTGATTGCAACTTTGATCTGGGCCACATTGAAGTAATTCCCACAACCAAACATGGACTCTCCACAGTGCAGGCTTCCTGCCTCTTACTTTAAATGGTGGCCTCCGCCGTCTCCCGAAAATGCCATCTCTGGGTCCCAGGGCCCCCAGAGGAAAAGGGTGATGTCCGGTGGCAGAGCTTGACGGGCTCTTGGCCTTTGTTAGAAAACCCTGTCAGTGCGCTAGGAATTGGAGCCCCGTGAGGTTTCCAGTGAATTTTCTTCCTGCCTCGTTCTCGAACTCTGCTCTTACCCTGCTTGATCTAAACACAAAGCACATGTGTGCAGGCGTGCGCTTGTGATGCACGTGGCTCTGTGGATGTATGTGCGTGTCTGCGGATGCGTGTGCACGTGGCCGTGTGCGCGTGTCTGTGGTTATACGTGCGTGTGTCCCTGGTGGGTGTGACTCCGTCAGAGGACCCGTCTGTAAGTGTTCTGCTGCCTGCTCCGTGAGGAGCCTGCGTGGGCCGTGGGACCCCTCCCAGCATCTCCTTGCTCATCTCCAAACTCAGAATGGTTGCTGGGTCTGACCACACATGTGGCTCTGTGGATGGACGTTCCCCTCCCAGCTGCTCAGTGGTTCATAGAAGTGACAGCGCAGTTTTGATGAAGTCAGGCTGTAGGGCAGCTTCTCAAGCAGTGAGGCCGGTCTTTACAAGTTGGAGCCATCACCTCCCTAGGACATTCCTGTGCCTGGATTTTCCCCTGAATCACTTCTTGCTCTGATTTCATTGGTTTAATGTTGATGTTTCTTCTTACTCCTGATCAGATAGAATATAATTGTGACAGTTGCCTGCCTAATTTAAGGGGGAGGGATTCCCCCAAACAGATACAATGTCTGAAAGTTTTCTAGTGTACATAGTCGACTACCAGCTTCTCGAAATCTGAACCATGCCACCCCAGCAGCGGGGTCCTCACTGCTGTCCGTAGGGCGCCTGCAGACAGCACCCCTTTATCTCCCCCCACCCGAGAACCGGCCCTCCCGGGAGGCTGCGAAAAGAATAAAAGCTCTGGACAGCCGCCGTGAGAGGTGGAAACCCTGAAACCCCACGGGGATGAGGCACCCCGGGGCACCACGTGGCCAGCTCTGGCATGGTGGACAGTGGCGCTCTGCTGGGATGGGTGTATGGGG